GCTACGAGCCCAAGAAAGGTAGGCTGCCTGCGGCCCGCGGGTCCCCTGGGGAGGGAGAGCCTGGTCCCTGGTTAGTGAGCACTCTGGAGGAGCAGGGGAAGGGGCCGGGGCACCTGTAGGTCTGCCTGGGGGGAGCTTTGTCCCTTGAAGGAGAGGAGGAGAATGACAGCCTGTCCTGGGCCGGCGGCTCTTGCACGACAAGCTAGGAGGAGAGAAGGGTGGTGAAGGCAGGAAAGGGCCGGGAGATCTTGGCCTCACGAGAGGGCCTGTCTCCCACCCCGTGCTGCTGACTTCCCCTTGATTTGCTATTTTTGCTGCTCTGAGTATCATCGTGACCGGTTTGCTCTCGGCAAACACAAACTGCCACAGTTGCAAATTACCGCTTGTCTCCGTGCTGCCTGAGCCCAGCTCCTGCACTGCCTGTGGGTTAATAGCGTCTCGGCTGAATCTCCTCTTCCGCCTTTGGCTGGAAAGAAACAAAATGCCCCGGTTCCTCCCACAGGCCTTAGTATTTCAAAATTTCAAAATAGAAAACAAGAGCCTTTTTTCTTCCTCTCCTTTTCCTCATACTGCCTCTATCGTTCAGAATTCAGGTGGGAGCTCATAAGACCTGTAAAAGAAAGTCAAGGGGGAGAGACAGTGAGGAGGAGGGAACAGAGCGAGGTCCATCTCAGACATGGCGGGGAGACAGGTGCCCCAAGCCGCTTGCCGGGTGCAGGGAGCGTGGGTGTGCGGGCTGGTGGCTGCACTGCTGTCTGGGAGACAGATGGCTCTGGGGTCAGGTTCTGACTCACTGCCCCCTCCCCTGACAGATGCCAGTGAGGGCTGCACCATGGTTGGTGGGGGCGTCCAGCCCTACCTATAGAAGGGCCGCACACAGCAATGCAAGTAAGTGAGCTCCCAGGGGTCCCCGCCTCGGGGAGCCTCCCTGCGCCGATCGCTCTGTAAACTCGCTTAATGTGTATTTCTTGCTTCTTGTCACAAGGTCTGAGGACAGAGCATTGCAATCTTCTCCTGGTTTTTATTTTTTCTTTAAGTAGGCGAGGACCCCTGCTCGTTTACAGAGCCCCTCTTTCTCGCTCCAGTTCTGCTTTGCAGAATCACTCTAACTGGAATATATTTATTGCACCACTGCGGTTGTTTTCTCTTTGGAAAAATATTTAGTGATTAAAGTCTGAATATTTGTTTGCAATTTGGAACCATTAATTTTTTTACCGCGCTAGACACTTAATAGACACTTGCTGTGATGAGCTAGCGCCCCTGAAACTTGGGGCATCAAATCCCTTTAGAGATGATGCTTGCAGAGTCAGACTAGGGAGACACAGAAGGTCTTTTATCAGGCCCGTCCCCATGTCCAGATGGATTAGATAGGACCGTGCAGTTGGCCTGGCTGACAGCAGTATCTCAAAAAAAAAAAAACACCCACTTTACAAGTAGACAGCATTACTAATCGCAGATCTTGAAGATGGGAAAAGAGGCAAAACCATGTGAGAGGGATTTCTTTTTAAAATGTGATGGTGCTGGTTTGGGACTGAAGGATTTGGGGTGATTGGGTTTTTTCCTTGGTCCACAGGTAGGTGTCACAATTGCTTTGGAAAAAAAAAAAGTCAGCAGGCCATTCTCTCTTTCCAAGTTCATAAATATAGAGACATAAAAAACCTGATCTCTAAATCAGGACCCATCTCGTGCCACTGTGAAGGAGAAGGAGCCACAGGGCACTGCCAACCCACAGACCATCGGAACAGACTTTTGTTGGACGTATGTGAATTTGCTGGCATAGTGTAGTTTCCCCAATGTATGTGTGACTTTTGAAAACAATCTTTTTTCTCAGGATATCTTGAATTGATCACTTCATTGCCACGGTATATATTCTATAGGTGTGATAGGATTTACTGTAAAATTGATTTGTAAAAGATGTACACAGTAGAAATAAAACGTGATTATAGAACTTGAGTACTTAAGAAGTGGAAACAAATTTGATATTTATTTTTATAATGATATAAAGCTTCTAGTAATTTATGCAAGTTGTATTGCAACGGAATCTAAACTTTTTGTAAATAAACCCTGCCTGGTTTTTATTTGAACATTGCCTGTTATACAATCTTTGTTGGTTGTTTAACAAGAATTCTTTACTAATTTATATCTTAAATTGTAAATAAAAACAAACTAGTCTACAACAGTACGGTGTCTGGGGCTCATTTGTCCTGGAAGAGTGATCTGGGGGTGGGGGGGCCCTAGTGGTAGCAGCCCCTCCCCCAGGTGATCTGGCCTTAGGCTTTTTAATGAAAATGTGTAAAATAATCCCTCCCTTCTCCTGTCCATACAAAAGACAGATGGAAGAGAAATACACAGGAGGGAGCTACATATGGTTTTAGACTATTTATATACACATGCATTGCAAAAAAATGAAGATTTTGTGCTCCGAATATGCAGATGTCTTGTTAGTATACATTAAAAAGAAAACAAGGCAAAATAAATGGTCTGATACCCCTGTGAATTAGGACCCATTTTATATTTATTTCTGATACAGGCTTATTGAATCTCCTCAGTAACTAGAATTGTGCTGACGTGGGTCACAGTTACATCCCTCCCCATAACTTCTTGAGGAGAATGATTATTTATCTTAACCTTGAATTATCCAAATTGGCGTAGACTCTTCAGATTTATTGAACGACTTCTTGCCTTGCCTTTTCATATGACTCACATCAAACACAAGGCGGAAAATCTGGGAGGAGAGATTTATTCTCCTTCCAGTGGTTCTTACCCTAACCCCGAGGGAAAGAGAAGTTTAAAGTACCTTCCACCACTGCCTCGTTATGTGTTACTCACTATCTAATTATAGGACAAGGCTAGAATTTGTAGTCAAGGAACATATTGTCTTTGATTAGTATCATAAAAACAGCAAAACTGTCACTTTAATTTCCAGCAAAATTTTATGGATATCCCTCTCATATAATTTCAGAAAAGAAATGAACAATCATTTATTTCCTCTCAAAAGATAAATTGAGTGAATATAACTTACGGTTATAAAACAAGAATAATAGCTTCTCAGATTGCCCTTTAATCAATCATACACTTATTTTTCAAGAGGTTCATCTATTTTATTCCATGATTAATAATGCTGCAGCCTGAGAGCATTATTGGATCCCAGCGGGGGTCGTCCCGGACGCTTTTAGCTGCTTTGGAATGGTCAGTTGGGGTTCATTATGGGCTGATATTGAACAATTTATAAAATCTTGTCTAAACATCTGCCAGTGCTGATAGGCCGATGTGTCTGAGGATGGGAAATTGCCAGGCCAGATGATATTGACAAACGCATCTCTCTCCAGTGGCTTTTTGTGCAGTAGAAATTAGTGGCCTCTTGCTGGGGTCTTGTTAGAAAGGGTATTTGAAAGTAATCTTAGATACTTGAGGCAAAGCCAGGGGGCTGTGAACTGGTCACAGAGCCGTGCCTGTAGGGAGGAGCGATGTGGTCTGACTGCGGATTGAGGAGCAGACCAAGGTTTCGGTTTTCTATTGCTTCTCAGACATTTTGTTGGTTTTGAGTTGGTAAGCATTTGGAGGTTAGCAGAAAGTGAATCTTTGGGGTGGAGAACTATTTTCCTCTCCTTCCTGCCTCCCCTAGTAAGAGACCAGGACCTGTTTGGACCCGAGCTATCTCTCTCAGCAACGGGGAAGATGTTTCCCGCGGGAAGTCTGGCCACTCTGTGGCAGCATGTCTGGAAGAAAGCGAATTCGAGTCTGTGGGCATGAAAGTGAGCCTCCGGGAGTGCCTTTGCTCGTTTTGGTTTTAGAGGAAGGCTTTGTAGAATTTCGGTGAAGATAATGGCTTTCACTCCAGGAATCACGCTTTAGGATGCAATATGAAGGCATTAAGCACTTTGCTTTTATTAACATTAGCCATCTTTCCTAAATCAGCAGGGAATACAGTGCACATGGCAGCCATATCTCTGTTATACGTAAGATTATAATTTAAGTATTTTGAAGACTTCAGTGAAAAGTATGGAAGTTAACAATATTTAACAAATTAAAACACTGAGACATCATGCACCCTAATGAAGCTACACACTGACACCGCTCCATTTCTTCAAAGAAACAGAGTGTGCACGTAGAAAACCCGAGTGAAAATTCACCTCCTTGCCTGTGTT